CCCCAAAACCCCAAAACCCCAAAACCCCGCTTTTATGTAATGCTGTTGAAGTTATTGGTTTATGTTAAGGTAATGATATGCACCATTTTGTTATTAATATCTCTTATAAAACAAGATGTAATCGCTTTTGTATGAGTCCCAGTAATTTTTCCCTTCATCTACATTCTCATCATTGCAAATTTTCCAGTTTCCATTCTTTTTAGTGAATGCGACATAACGGACAGAATCAAGACTGTCACCATCATGGCTTACAATTCCAAGAATTCCATAGCTAAGGGTCTTATTTCTAAAATTAGGGTCCTTCAACTCAAAGTTAAGTTTATATTTCATAAGATCACAAATCTTCTTATTTGTCATTGGGTCTGTTCTTTGGTATACCAAAGCATAATATTTAGGATGTATTACAGTCCTTTTTCTGATAGTGCATTTCACAACATTATCGCATTTTCTGCAGTAAAATTCAGAATATTGAGTTATTTGATCCGATTTCATAAAATTGTTGAATCCCCTATCAGGATATCTTGTATTTCATTCAAGACCTACATTCCCAAATGGCTCATATGTAATTGTTCATTCTTTACATTTCTTTCACTTGTAACTGGTCATATATAACCCTGTAAAGAGTTGGTCAATGATTGAATCATTTTCTTCTTTATACTTTCACACAGCTTCTTCTTTATTTGTGTAGCCTGAGTTTTTAAATGGTATCGCAGTTGGATTGAGTTCGCTCTTCAATTTACCAAGCATATTAGATAAAAACTTAGAAGAATCGTGCTGATATTCAGGATCGAAGTCTTCTTCAAATAGTTCCTTGAAATAAGTAATATCTATCTTCTCCTTGTCCTTATCAAAATAATCAAAGATCATCTGACGTGTTGCTCTACAGAACGGGAACTTATCAGCATACTTAATCTCTCCACTGATGGGATCCTTCTTCTCTTCAGGCTCATCCCACTCCTTATGCTCTTGAGTAAAATATTGAACAAACTCTGGAATAGCCATCAAGCACTGCAGTATCGCATTCATGTATCAGTAAAGCTTCTCATTGGTAATGCCTTTCCACGTTACCAGGATTTCTTCCTCACTAATTACAGATGTATTCTTTGGGTAATCTTGATGAAGCTTCCTTTTCCAGATCTGAAGAGCTTTCTTAGGGCAAGGCTTGGATTTACTAGAGGTCTTAGAGGGATTTAAGTTGAGGAAGCCAATGGGTTTGGAAGAAAATTCACGGCGTATTGGATCTTTAATGGGGTCAGATGGTTGGGAGGATTTTAGAGAGGAGGATAGGAGAGAAGCTGTAGAGTCTGAGTTGTGAGGAAGAGGCTGAGGGGTGGCAGTAGGGGTAGGAGAAGAGTCTGATGCATTGTGGTCTTGTGCTGTCATGAGAGCTGACTCTTGGAGAGGATTAGAGGTTGTTTTATTGGATTCAGTAGATCCATCAATACAGCTTTCTTTTGTTTCTTCTTTAGACTCCAATAATTCAGTATTAATTTCCAAATTATTAGTTTTGGGCTCAGAGATTTGAACGGGGTCTGTGGAAGTGGTGTTAGGGTCTTCGTTTCTTGGAGAATCTTCTAAGTCACCAGTATTCTGAGAACCAGAAGAGTTTCCCACATCGCTTCCTGGGTTTGTGTCGCTGTTCTCTTGTTCATTTTTGATCAATTCTTGCTTATTGTCTCAGATAATGCTTTTAATAATATCATTAAGCTACATGTTAATACCAATAAGTTACCTTGTTAGAATGCTGATAGATATCATTTCTTAAATTAAAATCATAAGCTTTCTGTTTTACTGAATCTTCTTTCATCGATTTCATGAAGTCGGCTATCTTTTGGTCTATCTCTTTCAAACTAATCAGATACTTTTGATTCTCTAGGGCTTTCCAGCTTTTGAATAAATCCTTTTCTTGATCAATAAGCTTTAGGTACTCTTGAATTCTTTCTTGAATCCTATTAATTCTTTCTTCCATTGCTTTTTCATGCTCATGAATCTGTTCTTCATGATCTCTGTCTAACTTCCTCCTCTGATCATTCAGTTCATTCAAAGCCATGTGGTTTCCCTCCTCCTGAACCCTGGTTTGTGTGAGAATAAGTTCCTTTAGGAACTGCTGCTCTTGTCAGTTCATAATCCTACAATTTAGAAAGTTAATTAATCTTTCAATAACTCTGTCTGATATAGGGGTTTTGGGGTTTTGGGGTTTTGGGG